TAGTTAGTTCCCAGCTGTGCTGACATGGAGCCATGCTGAAATGGAGCCATCAGGGAAAATGGAAATTTGAATGACAGATATTCTTTTCCTGAGGAGCTCCATGTCAGTACAGTGCCCAACCAGCTTGGTAGGGCTAGTTGCAGAACACCAAAGCTGCAGGTGGTATTAAATGTATTAGTTAGGTCCTGGAAGCATGAGGTGGCCAGGTAGGAGCTAGGTAGGTATCGCCACAGAATACATTTGACTTCTAACTAATGTAGTAAAGACCATTTTGTTGATCCTGAATCAAGGACCAATCAATCTTGACATTTCTATGACCTGTTGATATGTTGTATGAACACCAGCTCTATGGTAACCCGACCATAATCCGTTTCCTATTGCTGTGTAGGAGTGTCAACCCTTTATGAGTTATCCTCTCCTTGGAAGTACATTGTGGTCTACAAAGGATCAAGGAGTGTTTTTATCCTATCAGCTATTCCTTGTCACTGCAGTACAGGAGTGTTAACCCTTTTTGGGTAGTCAGTCTCCTTATAAACACGTTGCTGTTCCATGTAAAGATTTCATACTTATTCATTCATTTTGTCAGCTGTTAGTCCTGAAAATGCTTCACAGTGCAGTGCACAAGTACAATGAACTCTTGTTTGTAAAGAATAAAAGCCATATCAAACCCAAAAAACAAACATTAGATGTGGTGGCTGCATTAGTTTTCTTTTTTTAGGTTGTCTGTCTTTTATCTTCAGATGGTCATCCTGCCAGTAAGTCTGTTGTTTTTCAAAAGAACAATCTCTCTTCCAGATGTATAGTTACAGGGATGAGACAAACCATTTACCACTTACAATGATCAGTCTGTATGTATTTATGTAAAACCTTTATCCCAAAAGGAAGAAGAACGGTTTGCTGTAAATAATTCTAAAGTGTGATCTGGAGTTTGGCTTTAATTTGTTAGTGTATCAAAATCTGCTAGTGCATGTAACATCCCCCCTAGACTGACAATGCTGCTGTCTGTTGTGCCCCCTGTTCTCCTTCATCCAGAGTGGGGGGTACTCTAATAAAGGAGGTGTGTTACTGGCCAGATCACCAGGAGAAATACATCTAATGATCGGTAAGCTGCAATATCCTATATTTTTGGTCTTGAGTTTAAAGGATATGTTCACCTTTTGGACAAAAATAATAAATACACCGGTAAAAAATGTGCATTTATTATTTTTGTTCAAAGGAGCCTGGGAAGCATTGCACCAGTGGTCAGTAGATAGCTGATTCCTTGCAGGTCTCCAGCAGACTTGTCAGAATATTTGCTTGCCGTACAGGGTGTAAGGGATGTATGGGGTGTACGGGATACGGGATGTATGGGGTGTATTGGATGTACGGGTGTACTGGGTGTATGGGATGTATGGATGTACAGGATGTACGGGATGTACAGGATGTACAGGATGTACAAATGTATGGGGTGTACGGGGTATGCACAGGGTGTATGGGGTGTATGGGGTGTACGGGATGTATGGGGTGTACGGGATGTATGGGGTGTACGGATGTACGGGATGTATGGGATGTACGGGGTGTACAGTGATGTACGGGATGTATGAGATGTACAGGATGTATGGGATGTATGAGTTGTACGGGGGTGTGACAGACAGCAGAAATATTCTTTTTTTGTGTGTTGTCTGAAGTTCCTGGGCCTCACAGGGGGGAGGGGAAATGGGATGTATCTCCATATAGAACAAAGGCAGCATGGCTCTGTGTGGCTGGGGAAGTCCAGGCCACTTCTTAGCAGGAAGTTGGGGGTGGGGACAATTGCAGGGCCATGTGGACTCGTTGTTGGGAGAGCTGGAACTTGATGGACAGGGCTACTCCTGCCTGAGCCTTAACTAGGAGATGCTTGGAACTGTACTTTATGTACACTGCTGGCTGGTGAGTCCTGGATGGATGGCTACCCTGTGACCTGCCCTCTGCTGAGTGCCCTGGACCTCCTGCCTGCCAGAGCTACCTTCTGCTGTGGGCCCTGCTTACCTTGCCTGCCTGAATTGCCCTCTGCTGTGCCCGGACCTCCTTCCTGCCAGAGCTACCTTCTGCTGTGGGCCCTGCTTACCTTGCCTGCCTGAATTGCCCTCTGCTGTGCCCGGGCTCTCTTTGCCTCAACTGCCCCTCGGCTGTGTGCTAGAACTACCCGCTGTTGCTGTGTGCTGAGCAGGGTCGCCGCTGCTGCCTCAACTCCGCTGTGAACCAGGACATCCCTGTCGGACCCTGAGTTTATGCTCTCCTGTTTTCCCTGAACTGTTCTTGTCTCCCACTTTACCTCCCTGTTGAATTACAACTACTACTTGTAGACTCCACTCCACCTCCCTGTTGGATTACAACTACTACAGAGACTCCCACCACCCCTGTTTGGATTATAAACTGCTGTAGAGACTTTAACTTTGCCTTGGGGCTGGACTACAAGTATTGTGGACTCTCTCCCTGCACTACTCCCCCCATGAGTGACTGTTGTCTGTTTTAATAAAGCTTTAAGTGTTTGCTGTCTGCCTTGTGTGTTCTGTCCCGCTTACCCTCCATCACATCTGGTCAGGGGTGTATGGTGTACGGGGTGTACAAGGTACAGGGTGTACAAGGTGTACAGGGTGTACGGGGTGTACAAGGTGTACAAGGTGGGGGTGTACAAGGTGTATGGGGTGTACAAGGTGTATGGGATGTACAAGGTGTATGGGATGTACAAGGTGTACGGGATGTATGGGGTGTACAAAGGTGTACGGGGTGTACAAGGTGTATGGGGTGTACAAGGTGTATGGGTGTACAAGGTGTATGGGATGTACAAGGTGTACAAGGTGTATGGGGTGTACAAGGTGTATGGGGTGTACAAGGTGTATGTGGTGTACAAGGGTGCATGGTATGTATGAGGTGTATGGCAAAGCAGATATACTGACAGGAAGCTTCAATAAACTACCATGGTGCTCCACAGCGCCCTGGTAGTTCATTGAGGACTACAAGCCCCCAGCCACTAAGCCTGCTGAGACTTGTAGGCACTCATTTACAGAATTCAAAGATCCGCACGGCCGCGTTGTTTTCAAATTTGACAGATAGTGCGAGGAAACTTCTCCCCATATTATCTATCAGAGGGAGGGGGGTGGCTGCAGCTCTGGGAACATGTTACATGGTCCACCCTAAAAACAGGTGGACCATGTAACATGCTCCCAAAGGTGAACCTGTCCTTTAACAAGTGTTTATTTAGCTTGTGGTCTATATGGATATTGGTCTATGGAGAGCCCCACGTATAGTAAGGTGGCCTGGCATGTTCCCAGGTTTGGATCAATCAGTGAGCAGATCCACCTGTACAGCAGGACTTTTCATGTCGGTGGTTAATTAGAGAAGATTTAACTATGTAAGTGCTGCCCCGGTGCTGAGTGCTTCGGGGCCATGGCTGCTTTGTGATACATGAGTGGGTTTTTTTTTTCTATTTTATTGAGGTTGTGAAAGACATGTTTCACATTGAGCTTCAAAGGGGGCAAATTGTTGGTGTCGCTTAGCTGGTACCTCTGTGACTGAAGTCACCAGTTTATTTGCCCCGAGGTCCAGTATCAAAGGTGATGACGACATATACAATTTATGAGAAAAGGTAGTCTGATAAGTATAAGCACGGTCCACATGGTCAACTGACCGAAAGAGACAAAAGGACATTGCGCAGGATTGTGACCCGGAATAAGAAAAAACTGCTGCAAAAGTGACTGCAGAGCTCAATCTCAGTCCCATGAAGACATCACTTCTGCTTTTGATTCAAAACATGTCCTCACTTTCAAACCAGAAAATCATGGTGAGCTTCCATTTTTCGTCTAACCCTTGTAATACCACAGAGCAAACATCAAGCCTGCCAACAGCAGAGGACAAGTCCCATGGAAACCCACAGGTGGAAGACCCAGTAGAATTCAGCATGATATGAATATAGATGGACCCTAATATATTGAGCAATGCCCTATCTTCCAATCAGGATAAAGAAGGGAATCAAGTCATAATGTATACAGTATCAGGGTTCTCAAGCCATGGGGACCACACTTTATCAAATTTGGAAGGGCATCACTGGTAATCACCGTTATACTGTATGCAGGTTCCAGTCCATTCTCTGAATATCTGATATTGGGATATCCTTTTACACTCACTTACCTGACCTCTTGACACCTGTGTAGTAATGGAGAAAGCATTTTCTGGCACTCTGGATTCACAGTGACCGATCCAAAATGTAAAGATTGAAAACTTTCACTCTTCAAAGCCTTCAAGCAATAGCTCAGCTGCTTGCAATAATTACTGTCCAACCACAAAGGATAAGTGCGGCAACCGTACAGCTTCAAACTTGAACAGCGAGACATGACGCTTCTGATGAAGTCCTCATCCTGAGTCTCATACAGACAGAAGATGGTCTGAGTATAGAAAGTCTCATTGATGTCCATCATGGCCCATTCTTTCATTGCAGGTTTGGCTTGGAGTGAAATGTTGATGCCTGTGCTCTCTGAGAATGTCTTCACCTGATTTTCATTTAGAAGACCAAATAGGAATTGTACAGCTAAGAACAAATAGTCATATTCTGAATTCAAGTCTAAGAGTGAATTTCCTTTACAGATCTCAGGGAGCAAATTACCTTCCATAGATCCAGAACCATCATCCAGCCCATAATACAGAGCAGCAAGGAACTCCTGTACACTCAGGTGGATGAAGCTGTAGCAGGTCTGGGTGCGGATGTCCCAATGAAAGATGTTCTCATTCAGAAATACAGACTCCACCTCAGACAGAGAAAGTCCATGTCTTTCTAGATCTTTCTTCTCAAATAGGATTTGTTGGTTCAGAACTCCCTGATTGGCCAGAGCACACAGCTTCTTCAGACAGGTTTGCTTCTTGCATACAGACTGGTCCTTCTTGCAGTGATGGGTTATCAGAACCTCCAGGTAAAGAAGGTAAATTGAAGTCATCGTATTACACTGAACTAAACCCAAATCTTTTTTTATTTCTTGTTTCATTACAGTGCAGACAATCCAGCATGTGATGGGGACGGCACACATTCTGTACAGAAATTTGTTGTCTTTTATTATACTGAGAACCTTGTCTGCATCGTCTTTATTTCCAAAGTATTTATGGACGTATTCATCTCGATCGTCTCTTGCAAATCCCTGGATTTCCACAATGCGAGAATCATCGATGAATGTGTTAAGTTTCTCCATGGCCATTGACCTTGTGGTGATGATCAGAGAAGATTGTGGGAGAACCTGTTTCCTGAGCAATCTTTGGAGAATTATTTCTCTGTGGGTTTCCATAGAAATGTCAAGACCACCCTCAGATTTCTCCTCCAGAGTCCACCTCAGTTCATCAAACCCATCAACTATAGTGAGAAGTTTTCTCTGACTTCCAGGATCCTTCAGAATAGACAGAAGGTCATCTGAACTCTGCAATCTGCAGGCTCTGAATAAAAGTCCCACAAGGCTTATGTCTCCAGGGATGGTGTTGATGTCTCTACAGCTCAGATAAAACACAAATTCAAACTTGTCTTGGTAGAGATCCCCAGAGGCCCAGTCCAGCATAATCTTCTTGGAGGTCATTGTTTTTCCAATCCCAGCAGGTCCTTGTAACACCACAATCTTAGGGATGAAACCATATTCATCAGGTCAAAGAGGGCCTGAGTGGTTGGGGAGTATTCCATCTAAAGGACCTCAAAGAGGGCCTGGATTGTGGTTGGGGAGTATTCATCTAAAGGACTTTTCTCAATGATCTGTGGATGTCTTTTGTTTGAATTATTTATGTCATTCTCCTCTTTATGCTGGTGTCCTTTTTGCATAGATAACTTGGTGTATATTTTCTGTAGATGCACAGCCTCCCCCATACGTGAATTATATTCTTTAATCCTCTGGAAAATCTCTTTAAAAGATTCTCTGTATTCCTTTCTGAAGTCTTTATGAGAGAAAGGAGAATATATTATTCCTCATGCACACATGAAATAGTATTTATAAGACAGAGTTGGACATTTTGTATTGTAACCATAAACCCCAAGAATGGAACCCTAATAGAAGATATCCCATGAAATACAGGAGAATTGTGGAAAGATCAAACTATGCACACATCATCCAGACTACAACAGAATAAAATGTTCATCCAGAAGAGATTTCATATCAAACATTTATGTCCAACTAACCTGCTAATCTGTTGTCGTGTGTCATCTTCTTCACTTTGGCTGAAAAAAATAGAATTTAATTATTGTGCAAGATTAAGGCTGCATTTAGGGGAATATATTTCCCTTAAAATTGGGTTTAAATTCATTCATAAGAATGTTTTAGTTTAGAAGATACTTCTAGACACCATAATCCCATCACCCCCCTGGAGATTGGAGTCTCTCCTCCTCCAATTTCCACCTCCCATGTTGGGGGGGGGGGGGTTCCAGAAAAGCTCCAATTCTCCTTGAAGGCTTTTACTGACACACACTTGGAACCTGGGGCATTGGCTACTCTTTCTGATGAAGGTTTAGATGGATGCATAGTACACAAGTCTCAGAACACTGAGCCACATATATGGAGGTTCTGTCAAATAGGCAAGGGGCTGCAAATGTATTCCACTGCCAGCATCCTAGAGAAGTGTTGCTCTGCTCCCCATCTTTCCTTTAGCTTGTTTCTGAACTCTAATCTTTTCCTTGATCCATAAATCAGTTATCCTTCATTGTTCATCTCTACAAACACCCTTGGTGAAGATTGTGTCATCCAGTCCAAAACTCCTGAGTGGTCATTGGCCTTCCCTGTATGACATTCCTAGCTCTTACGCACACAGATGTTGATCAGGAATTGTTAGAAAATGGTCATTATAGATGGGAACTCACCATTTTGTACTCTCCTCTCCTGGAGGTCATTTGCAGGTCCCATCAGACTGATCAGTGTAAAGACTTTAATTGTGACATCCAGAGCCCCTTCTTCTCCATATGTGTCTATCAGGAGGTCCTTGGTGGTAATCCAGTCTGCATTTTCTAGTCTTCCTCGGGGGATGGGACGTTTATCTCCATAGGAGAAATCAGACAATTTGTTCCTAAATCTCTTGAAATCACATCCTTTCAGATCCTCCAGAGAATATATGATAAGATCCCCGGGGTTTGTAGACCTTTTCCCAGGACACCAGGGGTTGACCCTGCAGAGGAAAATCAGCAACCATAAACATTAGTTATGATGAAGATGATGAGATAAAAGTGACTGGCTGGAAATGTGATAAAACGAAGGCTGTGAAGTGATGAGAAGATGAACTATGACTACTGGGAAAATGGGAAACTGCATAATAAACTGTGGATGATAGATCTGAAACTTTGCTGAAAATAAATATATGTTTGGTTATTGAATTAGATTATTAAGGACTTCAATGTACAGATGTGGGTGAGGGTGATATATGAAATGAGAGGATATGAAAGGGTAAGGAATCAAGTGGGCGAGTCAAGCAAAGAATGTATGATGATGGTAGTGATATGGTGTGTGTGTAAAAAAAGAGAGGACAGTGTACATTAACCTTGAAATGTGACTATATGGGGGTAGAGTAAAGGGGGACACTTAGACCTATTAGTGGAAAGAGGAGATGTACCTGGGTACACATAAAGAGGAAGAGGGGTAAATCAAATACAAAATGCATTATTGCTGGAGGTAAAAAGTCTTAATGGCCTCTTTGTAGCTTTGACATCAGAATGTCTCTTTTTATCATGATTTGTTAAATCTGTTATTATCCCTAGATTCAGGAACTTCTTCAATAATTATGTCTCTAAAGAGACTGTAATCCATGTCAGGAAATGACTGCTCTTTAAAGACTAATCAGAGGTTGGATCAGTATGTGTTCAGCCTCAGTCAAAACATCTGGATTGTCCTTCCAATATATTGCAGCTGACATGAGAACAATACATAAATAACGTATGTGAGGAGCAATTTAGAAAAGATGTAATGGGCCAACTCAAACCTGTAGTATGAGGCTCAATAATGGTGGTATTATGACACATGGATAGACAACTTAGCACTTGGAGACCCTGCATTTGAAGCTCCCGATTAATGAGGGTGTTTTAGAGATAGAACAGCTATCACTGCTGGGGGGGGGGGGTTATGTTCAGTGTTACAATATATTCTTGAGGATGTGTTTGGAATTCTCTAAAACTCCTTCAAGAGAAGGGGCTATGGGGTAAGTAAGTAGGTATAAGTGCTTAGATGAGATGTTTTTGATCTTTTTCCCTTTATTTTATCAGTTGGCTTCATGCTGATGTTTGAAGTCATGCGTAGTCATTACAACTGTTATTGCTGTAATATTTACAACATTCTATTTATTTTTGTAAACTATAATGAAGGGAGGGGTTTACCTTCCCGAAATGCATCAGTCATGTTTTCCTAGCTAGCTTGCCATGAAATGATTTTAACATTAAAAGACATTGGACTATAAGACATTTGTTTGACAATATTATTGACTTCCCTTAACATGAAATAAAATATGAAGAAGCACACAGAATCTAAATTCAGCTTGTTCAGTTAAGCTTTGGCAAAAAAAAAAAAACTGGAAGATGAATGGGTTCTCTGCATTGCTGCATCCGAACTTGTTCTCTCCAGTGTTAGTAAATAACCCCCAAGGTGATTGTGGACTTGATGAAAGCTCCTGAACTCTTCTAATGGATGGACTGACCAGATGTCTACAGGAAATGTCCAGACTACAGAGAGACATAAGATGTCCTATCATATAATTCCAATCTCTGGAGATGTGAGATGGAGGAAAACATTGGAAAGGATTTTCAGGATCAAGTCATACCTTGTGAGAAGAATGAAGAGGTCGCCATGACATCAGGAGATGATCTGAGATGACATCACCTGGAAGGAGCACAAACAATAACAAAACTCATTTTTAGTGCGATGAATGGAATCAATAAGGAGGATTTTGTTCCCTTATGTGGATAACAATTGTCTGCCTGAATGTCCAATCAGAGAAGATCAGAACTGGATTGGATTCTGTCATTTATATCCCATGACTATGAGGGTAATTAGAACCTTCACCCCAGCATTTATCTGATTGGTATATTGGGGTCACAAAAAGTAAGTTTACACTGTTTAGGGCCACATTTAACACAGACTCATACTTTTAGGGGCCACCTCCACAAATTTGTGCCATTCATAGCCAAGACTGGTACTAATCAGCACCAAAGTATCGGCCAGTAAGATGTCTAGAGAGAGGTCAGGTGGTACTTCAGGTTTGGGGGTCACCTAGGAAAGGGTGGTTAAGGGTTAAGAAGCAGTCAGGTTTAGAGGGTTAAATGAAGGTTAGGAGGAAAGGACAAGATAAGTGTCAGGATGAGAATATGAGGTGTCAGGATCAGAGGGGAATATGGTCCCTGAGGCACACAGTTTATAAAGTAAAAGTCTGTTTTATTGTTAAATCACAAAAGGACAGGTTTTGACTTCAAGTTTCCATGAAAATCACACAGGCGCAGCTCTTTGCCTGCACCTAACACAGTCTTTAAACTGCAAAAGAACGTACCTACTACATGAGAGGTTCAAATATGACAGGATAATCAAGAGAAATAGAACTGTCCTCATCCAGCAGGAAAATCACAAACATGAAAGTCTTACAGTCACCGGTTCTCTGGTATTAGCTTTGCCTGCGACATGTTCCTGTCCTGGAGTGTGACAACCATTTGTCCATTGGCCCATACCACACACTCATGCAGGTTTAGACTTTTTGCAGCACATACTGCTTAGTCATACATGGAGTGATGCCAACCCATGTCACATTCTACTGACTTATCTTGCTCTGGACACTCTGGACACTGGTTCACCATATGACCCAGTTGGTGGTAGGACCAGCACCAAACTACATGGAGTTCTCTTTCCCCTTCCAGCCCTCAGGAGGGTTAGATCCTGGGGTGCTCCTGGTGGAGATGTCATGCCCCTGGGTGGACACAATGCAGTTGACAGGTGGCATCTTTGTGCTGAGGTGCACCTTCTCTCAGATTGAAGAGGGGCCCCCAAAGAAATGTTCTGCCAAGCTAATTCCAGGACCAAGTCACAGTACACCTGCTGGGTAGGGATGAGCTGAAAGTTTGGTCCGAACCCAAGTTCAAATTGAACATTCGCTCATTTGGTTGAATCCCAAATGTTTGAAATGTTTTACTGGAATTGCACTATCAAACATTCCATAATACAATGCCAAAGTCTTGAACTTGACCTGAGGTCATAAGAGTTTTGATCTAAGTTGCAGCTCACACACTATAAAAGGTGCTTTACCAGCAGACGTTTGTCAGTGTGTGGGAAAGGGACCACTGAAATGTATTTTATATAAAGAGTTGGATATTGTAGTGTGGTGTACTACTACTGTTTTGTGATTTACAGTATCAGTGCTACATTCAGTACTATATTCTGTGCTATATGCAGTCATATTTTCTGCACTATATACAGCATCAGTCCTATATACCCTACTATATCCTGTGCTGTGTACAGAAGGTGCAGCATGGTAATGACACAGATTCAGGTTTCAGTAAAACGTGAAACTTGTATTGAAGAGAATGCCAAACTACAAACAACCCCAGCGGGAG